ATCGCCTGAAAAATAGTTGCCATTAAGGTCTAAGAACGTTAGAGTTTTTGAGTCTGTCAATGTCGTCGGGTACTGGGCCAGCGAAGTAATTTTGAGAGAGGGCAAGGAATTGGAGGTTGGAGCAATTGTACAAAAATCTGGGGAATTCTCCGCGGATGTTGTTGTTTGAAAGGTCGAGCACCGTCAGATTCTTGAGGTCGCAGATAGCTGGCGGTAGCTTCCGGGAGACACCTTTTCCTGAGAGAAGGAGCTGGGTGACGACGCCATGGGCGCAACGTATCTCTGGCCAATCGCAAGGTGAGGACGATGAGGTCCACGATCGAAGCGACGGTGGATCGCCCAGTTGATGTTTAACGTTGAGCAGGATGATCTGCTCGGAGACTGCGGCCCGCGAATCTGCACTGGAGGTCAGTGAGAAGCTAAGGAAGACGAAGAATGCAACACAAGCGGGGAAATTCCGGGCATTCGAGACGTTGCGGTCTGTTGGTGTGGTTTGGAAATTTGCCGGGAAGACATGGCGAAACCAACGGTCAAAATTCAAACATGGACGGAGATCAGCGAAATTGCGTTGCGTAATGGTTAGTGCGAGTTGTCACTATTGCGAACTACGAACTTATAACCGACGGACAGGTTAAAGTAAAAGGGACAAATAATAGGGCATAATTGCAATTATGCCACTATAGAAAGAGACGGCGGTCACGAGTCCATAGAAAATCATCACCAGTGATGGTAATCTAGTCTTACACTCTTGTTTAAAGAGGTTTGTTCAAACACGGGTCGTGGAAAGAGGACATGCTAATAATTGCAACACGTCATCTTTTCCTGCCAGGCCACTAAGAGCACTGCTCAATTGTTTTCCCCCAGCACCATCAGCATAATATCATCATCTGTTCACACGAAATCTAAAGATGTTATTTTGAGATTGAATTTTCACTGGGAAGTTGAAAAAAGAATAGAGACAAGCTTTTTTTTTTTTAAGGCTTAGAAGTAATCCTATTCTAAATAAACAAAAAATGCTTAATTACTGGTTTAATATGAATTGGAGTTCTTACTGCATAAAAAAATTTAAATGACGGAAAGGATTGTACTATTCTTATACGCGTTATCTCCTTAATCTGTTTATTATGATTAATCAATCACACAGTCTTCACATCATAATCAATCAATCAGGAATTGAAAAAACACACACACAAACGGCTCAAAGTAAAGCGTACAATCCACAAATGGAGCTGACACACTGGAGTCACTTCTAAAAAGCAGTAACTTCTTATAAAATTACATACTGCATGGACGTGTCAACTAGATTTATATGAAGAGCTTCAATCCTGTTTTCCTTTAAAGAAACTTAAATCATGGAGGCTATGATTGGGATTTTTTTTTTTTTCCTTCTGCCGCTTTTTTTTTTTTTAAAAAAAATTCTGTGGAATAATGGACTAGATTAGATGAGCAACACAGAATACAACTGCCCCAGAAAACAAAATAATCACATACCTAACACGAGGCTGCTGCTTACTTTGTCCAAACCCTCTCTAACAAAGCTTACGGCTTTGTCACAGAAAAGTTAAAAAGAAAGTGTCGGGGCTCAGCTTTCACGAACTAATCAGGGTTGGTGAAGAAGATAATGGCAAGTTGGTGCTGGGAAACATTATCAATTTAACATAGTGAGGTTAGGATATTGCTGTTGACTATAAAACGTATGGTTAGACGTCGGTCAATATTTCAAAAAAGCATCCTTTCAACGGTATTAATTAAATTAACTTTCCACGCAAAGCATCATTTGTTTCTTCGTTTGCTGCCCAAGTTCCAATTCAGGGTTGAAATACACAAAACCGATTGTCGTGATGCAATTTCCTTCTAAAATTGACCTTAATACCATGATTTGATATTAGTGCACTCCATACAGTACACAGCCATATCCAGACGCCACACTGAATGTTACAGTTAATATGTGAGGAAGCTGGTGGGGACATATATGAAGACAGTTTGGAATAGATTGGACCGACGTTCAACTTTTCTTTTACCGACTTTGAAAAAAGTCACTTACCTTGGAAACTCCCCATACTAATCTGCTGATATGTGAAAATAGACAGGACAACCATTGGTTGAAATATGTCATGGAAAACAAAGGGGAACAAGGAAATTCGCTAAACTTTTGATGGCTCATTCCACACTACGCGGATAAACTTAATGGTGAAATATCACTCTGGGAATAAGAAGAGCAGTAACATTTTAACATCTCAAAATTCTAAAATATTAATAATTCTGTAAAACAATGAATGATGTGAGTTTGAAATGCTAGAAGAATGTGTGTGAAAAAACTGTTTAATTTAAAATAATTCCCATATGGCCACGGCTGTGTTTACGGGATATCCAACCATAGCGTTTTCAGGCCAAAAAAAAAATCGTATTATTAATAATTTAAGAATAATGTCATTTGCTTTAATTTTTATATTTAATACTGATTAATTAAAATCTATATTGTGGGTGAGTGACCACAAAAATGAGCTTGAAGGTGAATGATATTCTTCTGGTTTCATTTACAGGTCATTTTCAACATATTTCACATAGATTAGGAAAAACCTTAAATTTCATTAACATTCATTTAAAATTCAACAACTTTCCAACTTTTATTATTATTTAGTATACATTATTTCTCATGTAAATAAGATCGGCACAATAATAAATAAAGAGTAAAATTGTACATTCATATAAAAAAATTTGTCGATAAAAATGGCTTCTCTCTCTGCCTTATAAATAGAATCAGAAATATAACTATAATTAGGGCTCATTGGATTAAAGTTCAAGATACTATCGTAACACTGGAATATGTGTACGAAAGTAAGAGACTCAAGTTCTTCCTGTAACGATGCATAATCTTAAGCTACTACAGAGCTCTTAAGATCAAGGGAAGTAGGCAGCACCCCTTGAGTCTGTGATTACAGTGGTTCCCCATGAAGCTAGGCTTAGTTGACCTATTGCCACATGACATTAGTGACTACTACTGTTTAAACATGAGGGCTTGTATTTGGAGAGATTGTGGCTGATTCCATGAATGGCACCAACCGCTGCGGCCAAGGAAACAAGGAAGCAGACAAAGCTCAGAAGTTGTAGCGCGCACCACTTGAGTGACAGGGTTTTTATCTGTCTCTGGGCGATGTGCATTTGTACAGGGAAAAACACTATGAGAGGCCAGAACCCAATGGCTCCGAGCAGGGCAAGAAACTCATTGAAGAAGGGCATTGCCATGGCCAGAGTAGTGGCTATCATCACAAATACTGTCCTCCAAACTAGCCTAAACATGTTCAAGTTGAGTGTCACATTGCCTATTCTGCACGGGTATTCTTTGTGCACAAAATCTGACTTCGGCCACATCATCTTTGCACCCAATTCAACTATAAGAAAGAATGCTTGAGCCATTAACTGTCATTGAATAATGATTTCTCGCATCAGACGGATATTATAACAATGTAGGTGTGCCTCTTAATTCTTAAAAACTGGGGAAATAACCTGATATGCGCCCAGCATGTGGATGACGATGCATATATTTCCTATGTCGACCAGCCAGAAGGGATCGTAAAATCCGAAGCCAGTGAGCAAGTTGCCTGGTGTTTTGTCCCCAAAAGCAGCATAACCAAGGCCACCGCATGCAAGGAAGAGTGATGTCATTGCTGTGATCCCCAACACGTTAGCCTTTTTCATCTGCTTGCATTCTGGTGGGGATGATTTCAATGTGTCCTAAACAAAGCAAAGAGAAAATCCATTTCGAAAAAGTTATAGATGATCACAATCCCAGCGTTCAGTTTGCTTATTGTTGCTGTGATCATAATAACAACCGCTTGCCTTACCATAATATCAAAAACAACAGTAGCGTAAGAGCAAGCAAGCGCTATGTTCCCCATTGCACTGAAAATTCTCCACATTTTATCTTCTTCGGATAGATCAGGCCCTACTTCTACGCCGGTTACACTGGTTGGCCTTCCTTGTCCTGTTCAAATCCAAATGTCATTCCATGGATATGCCGATACTAATATAAACTAAACGAATGTATTAATAGTTACTGATAAATATTGCCTTGGATGAGGACAGCGAGAGACAGAGCACTCCCAATAAGAGCATAACCAAAAGACGTAATGCAAGCAATGGTTGAGAGCCAGGTAAGCTCGTGGAAATTGGGAATTTGGGACAAGAATATCTGGAGGGCCCCAAAAGCAGCCATGAAAGGATTGTTGGAAAATTTGCAATAAGCTTGATGGCCTTTTCGGTGGAAGCACCCAGCCTTCTTGATGGCCCTGCACCACCATAACAGAACAGAGCAGAACAGAACAAAATAGGCTCAGTTTAGTCATAGTCACGTAAACATTAAGTCGAAGTGAGGGGAGATATTGTGACGTGACGAACACTAAGCTGGTGGAGGTGGTGATAGTATAGCCAACAGTAATTCCAGCGAGCTTGGAATACTGGACGAAACCGCAGGCGAGGTGCATGCGGCCGCCCAAGTAAGATTTGACGGCTTGCATGTAAGTGTAGTTTCTGGTGCCGGAGATAGGATGGGGATATCTGTAGCAATCAGCAATGAGATTGTAAGTGAAGATGGAGATGCATGAAAAGGTGACCATAACACCTACTCCTCCGATCCATCCAAGTTGAGCCATCGCCCACGGCAGTGCAAGCACTCCTGCTCCCACTACCACAGTTATTATGTGCGTCGTCGCCGTCAATGCACTCCCTGCATATCATGCAACATGTTGTTCATCATCTTCCACCTCCTTGTTCACTTTTTTTTCTTTTTCAAATTTTGTCGGTCAATTACACACCAAAAAAGAGGGGTGCAGTCTCCGGAAGTTCTTGTCTGTTTTAGGAACTCTTTCTTTGCTCTAGATTTTTCTTGAATAGAAAATTATTTCTCCTCCGTGAAGACGAAACCGTTTAAAAGGGCCATGCCCTTGTTCCGATGCTCCGCACCATTCCACCCAAAAAAAAAAAAAATCAGTTTTAATGCTCATAACTTTAACGAGCACTTTAAATTTGCTAGATCTTGATCATCCATATTTTATTTGAATGATTTGAATTTGATGGTTTTTTTTATTTTTATTTGTTCTAAATAATTATTTTTTTAGAAAATAGTTTTTATTTAAAAATAGTTAATTAAATATTTTTAATCTGGATCATTCAAATAAGATATAGACGATCCAAATTTGATAAATTTAAAGTGTTCTTTAAGGTGACAAGTAATTAACCAGGTTCCAAAAAAAGAGAGGAAAAGACTCAGAAGTGAAGGGAAGGGCAACGAAACCGCAGGTAAATACTTTGGGAAATATTGAATAAGAGCCTAATTAGCGTATGATAAATATTGGGTTGAATGTCGTAGGTTGTTATTTGGATCATCGTTATCAAAATAGATATGTAGATCCAGGAGTAATTAATAGTAATTAATAATTGCGCGCGTGTGTAAAGTCAGGCATGTTTTAGTTTACTTTCAATTTAAATTTATTGATTAAAATAGTTTCCATAAACAGCTGTAATAAATTTATGGCCAAGAAAAATAGCTGTAACAAACGCATGTGTTTCTAAGGTGGAAAAAATAAAATAAATATTTTATAACGTGGTACAACCTTTTCTTCAAATAAAATTACGTAAATCAAAAGGAAAAAGCACACACACACACACACATATATATATATATATATATTTTTTTTTTAAATTTCAGAGCAAAGTAAGTTTAGGTTGAGTTTGAATATACACACATACACACGAAAAGAAGCATAATTTTAAAAGTCGATAACGTTTAGAAGTTGAGCTATCAATATCAAACACCTAAATAATACTCTTTCAATCCTTAATATAAGATCTATTTAACTAATTTGATTAGATTAAAGAAGTTAGATAACTTAATTATAAGAAATGTGACACGTTTTTTTTAAAATATTATAATCATCTTTCTTAATACTGGAGGAGTACTATTGGTTGAGAGAGTATCTAAGGTTAATTTAAAAAAAATTGTTAAATATGATAAATGAGTCTTGTATTAAGACCAAAACTGACTCAACAACTGTTTTTTATATTAAGCACGGGAAGACTACTAAACTCAGAGATTCATATTAAAAATAATTTCCCCTTTGACGAGACTTGAACTCCATGGATTTGTGCGGAAAGCAAAGGATTTAATAGCGGAGAACGGTGCGAGAAGATCACGGAAAGCTCAAACATCAGTCAATTGAGAGCCGATACCTTTGAGCTTATTAAAATAATCTATCGGCTATGTTTTAAAGAGGAAAGATTCAATCCAGTCGAATAAAAGAACACATACAGAATGTGCAGATCATGCGAGCGAAGACCCAAAAAGTGAAGAGAGGAGATAATTATAGACGAATCTGCGAACAAAACTAAGAAAACCAGAGAAAGAGAGGAAGACGAACCTGTTCTTTTGGGCATGCCATCGTCGTCGACTTGCGAAACGGTTTTCCCGTCGGGCTTAATGTCCATTTCGATCCCTTCTCGCAAGTCGCAACTCTGAAGCGCGGCGTGGATGCTCACAAATGGGCGACGCGGGACGCGACCCGCCTTCACTCACACGTGTATACAAACCCCCTCACTGTACTCTCCAAGTTGTTATAAGGAAACCATAATGGCGCATTTTACTACATTATAGACCATTACTTTGTGCGCTCTGAAAGTTATTTTCAGAAATTAAATAACCTAATTTTTTCTTTCACTTATGACAATTCGGCCACGCAATTCCTTTCGCGTTTGGATGAAGCTGAAAGCGACAGGCTAAAGTGCTAAACTCCGACTAAGTTACTGTATGCGGAAATTTTTTTTTTTTTGACCCGTCAATTATTATATTAATCTATATGATTCTCCACACTTAATCTTAGCCAAAAGGCCAAGAAAGGTATAATCTATATGATTCTCCACCTTAGGATGTTTGTGGTACTAGAATTTTCGTCCTTTTAAAAATTTAAGAACTAGACTTTTTTTTTTCCCCTTTCATGTGTCTTCTCCATTTAATAAAGAAGCAGATCAGTGGTCAAGTTAGTACTTCACATCCAGAGAAAATTTAAAAATATTTTTAAAAAAAAGAGAGAAAACGATCTGACAAATTTTTATACACAAAAAATACTAATTGTACTACTCTGTAAATTTTATACATGCAGAATATTAGTACTACTTAGATGCTTCTCACTGATGAAATTTGTAATGGAGATTTTCCCCAAATTTTCGAAGATATTATTGCATTTTGAAACTAGTTTCTTAGCCTGTCAAAAATCTCAGAGGTAAGAAAAGGAATGTAATAAATGTGGTGAGTACTCCATTCATCATAGAGTCAACAATATGACAGGGTAGCTTTATCTTGTGGGGGGCAAAAGTCCAATCGTGAATGAATTTTCAAACTTAATTGGAGTAATCTCATTCGTGCAAATCCCACCACTCAAACGTCCAATAATACGCATCATGAATAACTTCGATCGAAATAGAATGTTACCCTTGGGCTTGTTTGATGTGAACTGTACTGTGTTGATTTGGCTGGTCCCCAACATTCACATAACATCGGTTCATATTTAGTGACGTCTCATGGGTGCCCATTATAGGCATGGGGATTCACTGGAAGATGCAAATTATAGATGTGGGTACACGATGATCACGCCTAAATGAGAAATGGGAGACGGATGCAAAAGAGTAAAGACAGGGATCACATCACGACAGCGACAACATTGGACGAACGGATGGCTACCCACATCTGTGATTCCTCCGATTAGGCAGAAGACAAAAGCAAGTGCCAGATTTTCTCATATGTGGTGCAGCGCAAGTGGAGTTTCGCCAGAGAGGCAGAGCTGGGCCCCCGCTCGGTTTTCTAGCCCCCCCCCCGGGGGGGTCACCCTCTAGGAACAGATTACAGAGCTACCCTATTTCTTTTAACGTGCGTCCCTGTGCTCTTCACATTTGTGCGCAGTGTGCTCCTTTTCATTGTTATGTTACCTAGATGTATAGATTAGCTTAAGCAGCAGCATTATTCTACATACTCCCTTTAATTTGCCCACCAGCGGCAAATGTTGTTTCGAAAACCAAAGCATGAGTGAGGAATCCCCTGGGGGGTTTTTGGTTTTAGCTTATGAAGTGGGCCTGCTGAGATGGAAACTGGGAAATGCCCGGCTTTGGCAAGTCAGTGGAATGTGCTTTCAACAGAAGTATCTTTCTTACCATAAAGTCTGGGTTAAGTAAAAAGAATTAGTACTTCACAACATAATCAACTAATATTCAAATTCTTACTAAAAGAGATACTCGCATTCAATTCTTAAATAGAATTGATACTGCATGACCAAAAAAAAGGCGTATCTACTTTGGAAATCTTGTGATGCTGTTCATGTATGAAGAATTTACTTATAAGAAAATTTCACGAAATTCTGACTGGAGACGTGCTTATAATTATTTTTTAAAAATAAAATGACATAAGCGTCTTTGAATTCGCCCCCTTTTAAAACTTATAAGCCAACCGCGTAGATTTACAGATGAATTTACATAAATCAATCTGTAAAATTTGAACACTTATCACCAAAGAACCATGTAAATTCTCTCTCACCAAAAAAAAAAAAAAGAACCATGTAAATTCATTTATAGAACTTTGACTTCTAAATATCAAAGTATAAATTTTATAGGAGATTTATTTGTGAATGTAAGAAATTCAAGCAGTAAATTTATGATGTTTAATGTCTAGATTTAAAAATTTTAATAAAAAAATACTACCTTCGGTTTTTAATATAAAAGATAAGTTAACTTTTACTTTAATCCTACATATAAGACCCAAATTTATTTTATTTCTCATATTTATTTATATTTTTTTCAAAGTAATTCTTAAAGTAATGGTAGTTTTAGCTAATATACTTTATTAACAAGGATAGTTTAGAAAAGACAATACTTATTTATTATAAATAGCTGATTTAACTACTTTTTTAATCCATTTAAGTTAATCAACTAAATCTTATATCAAAAACAGGAGGAAGTACTTTAGGGGGAAAAAAAGTAATTAGTCAACCATCGCTGGTGCAACCTCCAGCTGGCGAACGTTGAGCAATGAGTTCAAGAATATTTATCTCACTTTACATAAGAAATTATTGCAATACTACCTCCAATCCTTAATTTAATATAAGAGTTACTTAAATAATTTGATTGGATTGAAAAAATTAGTTAAATTAGTTATTTATAATAAATAAGTGTTATCTTTCTTAAAATATCCTTATTAATAAAGTATATTGACTATAATTACTATTATTACAAGAATTATCTTAGAAAAAAATAAATAAATATGAGAGACAAAATAGAGTAAGATTTTATATTTAGGATCAAAATAAAAGTCAAACGAGCTCTTATATAGCCTGAAAGTAGTAATATTTTAGGAGGCTTTTGGATATTTTCACAAATTGGAGGGATTTATTTATAAATAATTTTTTATTTGGTATGTATGTAACTTCTTCAAAATTAATCAATCACCATCATTAATTTATTGAACTCAAATTCCTTGTGGTATTCCTGTCTTGCTTACACGATTCTATCGTAAATGGAGAAAGATTGTGCTTCATTTATTCAAAGTTTGAGCATGAGAGCTCCACCTGAGATTATGGGTCAGGTCAGAGGAGGTCATGATATGCAGTCACGATCAAATGATCAGTCAAATATAAATAATTATTCTGTCATAGATATAATTAAGAGAAAATTGCAACAAAAAAAAACCTTGAAAATTAAAAAATGAAAAACACGAACCCATTTATAAAAATTGTTATTATTTGCTCATTAACTGTTGTTAAAACCAATAATAATGTTGTAATGGGTCTCAATTTACAATTGTTCATTTTTTAATTATTTTTTTATGATTTTTTCTATTGACAAATTAATCATGGCCTTCAATGTCATTGATTATGCCCAAACAATGAGAGGACCAGCGTAATGACACGCTTACTTGTTATCATTTTACTTATGTAAACAAATATAAACAGATTAATCACTATTAATTTGTTGAAAAAAGGAAATATAAAAATTATTTTTCTGTGAGAAACTATCAAGTACATTTTAATTATATCGAGATGGAGGTGAGTGGGGGTATAATAAATCACCTCTGTGTATTATTATAATCAGGTTAGGTTAGGGGTAGGGGTGTGCATAGACCAGATTGGACCGGGTTTGTCATCAACTTGAAGTCTGGTCCAGTAAAGACCTCGGGCTGAAAAAGACAGCCCGAGGTCTGGTCCAGTCCAGTGTCAACCCGAGGTCGGGTTGGACTAGACTTGGTCCTCTGGACTGCCTGAACCAGTCCAGGCAGTCCAGACTTAAATTTAATTTTTTTAAAAAAAAAATTTCTTCAATAGGAGGTAAAACTGTAACTTACTATATAAAATTTTGCATATATTTTAATCCAAAGTTTATCAAATTTGATCATTCCTTTTCAATTTCCCAATGCAGTCATGTTTTATTAATTAATCCTCATCAATATAGATCTTAAATTGTAGAAAATATATATGCATGCTTATTACTTAGAAAGTTAATAGATAAATCTTGATTATTTGAATAGATAAAAAATTTATATAGAAAAATTAAATCAAATTAAAATTATATAAATAATAATTTAAAAAAACCGGGCTAGACTGGACTGGACCTAGTCCAGTCCAGCCCGATGAGACCAGTCCGGTCCAGTCTGGTCTAGTCTTGTTTTGGGTCAATTTTTTCTGGACCAGACTGGACTGGGTTTGCTCGGATTGGACCGGACCATACCGGACCACCGGGTTTTTGCATAGCCCTAGTTAGGGGTATTATTTGCCGGTGAAAATTTCCAAGCTGCCGGTTGAATCAAGATGATGGAATCCAACTTATTTCTGAAAACCAATAGACATTCAAGGATAATGCCAATATGAAAATAAAAATAAAGAATTGTCCACGAGCTTCTAATTTAGAGGCACTGATGTTTCCTTATTAATGGGAAGTTGCGTATTCGATTACGCATGCAATCCTGTTCTGATAGCTCTAGACTACTAAACCCTCAGAATCAAGAAATAAATGAATTGAACTTTATTTGGAGTCCCTCTATGTTTTATTATCTCTGATTCTTAATAGAAGACTTTATTTAATTTTTATTCTGGTCTTAAATATAAAACCCAAATATATTTTGTTTCTCATATTTATCTTTTTTTCTAAGGTAATCCTTGTAATAATAATAGTTCTAACCGATATACTTGATTAGCAATGATATTTTAGAAAAGACAACATCTATTTATTATAAATAATTAACTTTACCAGTTTCCTTAATCTAACTCAAATCAGTCAACTAGCTCTTATATTAAAAAACGGAGATAATATATATTTTCAATTTGTTCCCCAGTTCATCAACAGCTAGATCTGTCACTATTTCACAGTGAAATCAGCATGAAAATAATCAAATAAAGATACCCAGATTAGAAGCAACATCCACAACAGACATCAATTATATTCTTTAAAACTTGTAATACCCGGTTCGTTTTAAAAACAGGTCGGGTATAACATGAATGCATCCGAATATATTTAATTGATAAGATTTGAATAATATTTTGATTGGGATTTATGTATATTGAATTAAATGA